CGGTCCCGGAATAATCGTTTGGATAGACACGTCAGGCTCCGATTATCTTGCTTGGCATGCCACGTGGGTTCCTCATTGGATCCTATAAATACCCCCGGGCCACGTCAAAAAGGTAATTGAAACCAACCCTAAGCTCTTTTTATCTCCGCCTTAAAGGTAGCCCTGATTATTGCTGACTTAAGCATCGGAGTGTCTACCCCGAGTTCCACCTCGGGGCTTTGCAGGTTACTTCGGAGTACAAGCGCGGACTGAAGAAGGACTTCGGGTTTGGTGCAATTACACTTCCTTTTCTTGTTAAAGAACTGATTTTAGGACCTAGAACCCTCCCTTTGAAGTAGGAATTTCAAATCTGCTCTGTTTCTTTCCCTTTGTCTGTCCGCTGTTCTGCTGGGTGTGAATCCTTCGGGATTTTTGGTAAGAACCAGCTTCAAGTTCATCTCTTTTAGCTTTAATTTGGCTTGGATCACTCTAATCCCTTTTGTTTCTTGCAATTTTGTGGTAGTTTTCATGATTTCTTCTCCAGTCTCCATCGGCCTCCATACCCGCCAGCTCCGGTTTTGGCTGCTGGAAAAATTCTGGTATGTTGATGGCATCTCTAAGTCCGAAAATGGTTAATTTGTTGCTGCCCGTGTTGTCCGAAAACCCTCTGTTGTGCTGTCCGAATTTCTGCAGAAATATGGAAGAATTTGGCAGCATTTTAAACGTGTTTTTTTAGCTTAATTCATGTAGAAATAAACCTATTTTTGGCTTGAAATTAGCTGCTGTTCTGTGTGGAAAATCCTGCTGTTTTGCCAAAATTTCACTGTTCACGCGCACAGTTACTGTTCTTGCAGGAAATTTTGCAATTTGCTGTTGCGTTTTCTGCATTTTCTGCAAACTGGCTGCTATGTTTTCTGCACTTGCTGCTGCATTTTTCTGCACTTGCTGTTGCATTTTTCCGCAAGTTGCTGCTGTTTTTACTGTTTACGCGGCAACATTCTGCATTTTCCTACACTGTTTTTGACCAGAAAACTCTGTATTTTCTCCAGAAAAATTCTGCATTTTGCAGCATTTTTCCTTGCTATTTTTCTGCGTTGTTTTCCCCCAAATTTCTTGCCATTTATTGCAAATTTCTGCTCTTTGCCAAATTGTTTGAAGTCGCAGGTACTGTTCATTGTGTGAGTACTGTTCACGGATACTGTTCACGTGGTACTGTTCACGCGTTGAATTTTAATTAATTGGAGTAGAAAATCTCATGGAATAGGTTAGTTATGGCATTGGATTAATTTTGGTCCAATAGTGATGTATTATTGATTGGGGTTTTGTTTGGTTGTTGAGAACGTGATGGGAAAATAAAAAGGGAAATGGTTATTAATTCTTGGAATATTGTGATTAGGTTTGATCATTTTGTCACCGTAGCACTTGGCTTAAGCTTTCTGTTCTGTGCGAGTGAGGTAAATAAATTATGGTAAAACCCTTCGATTTTAAAGCATGTTTTAAATTGTTTTTGAGATGGTGGCGAGGTTTAAATTGATTTTATCAGCATTTGAGTGTGATTAAACTGAAATGAAAATTGTGATGATTTTTATGAAAAATTATTGTTTTACTGGAATTGAGTATGATTGGAATGAAAATGAGAATTTCATTTTTTTTCTGGAATTGAGCATGATTGGAATGAAAATGAGGATTTCATTGTTTTACTGGAATTAAGCATGATTGGAATGAAAATGAGAATTTCATTGTTTTTCTGGAGTTGAGCATGCCCACATGAAATTGTTTTTCCTTTTGCACTAAGTAGAGCATGCCTATTTGGAATTGATTGAACTGCTTTGATGAACTGAGAATTTTGGTAAATTCTGAGTTTTCTGTTAAATCCATGTTCACATGGAATTTTCTGGTTATTTATGAAATTTGAGATTGATTGTGAATTTTGGGTTTTTCTGTAAATTCTGCATGGTTTCGTCTCTAATATGGTCATGTTTATTGTGCCCGCTAATGGGAGGTTTATAAACGCTAGCACATGTCGACATGTTTACTGATATGATCGGTCCATTCTATAATCCCGCCAATGGGATAATACATTGGTAATTACTGACGCCTGCCAGTGGGAGTTTGTTAAACACTGGTACTATCACTGACGCTTGCTAGTGGGAGTTATTAAACATTGGTACTACTACTGTGCCCGCCAATGGGAGGTTTATAAACGCTGGCCATGACCTATAAATGAGACTACTACTGAATTTTTTTCTGCATTAACGGTTTGTCATCGAATGCTTTGTTATTGAACTGAATTTGATTCTGCATTAACGGTTTACCATTGAAAGTTCTGTTATGTTTACATGGTTTATCTGCATGCTTAAATTTTTACCAAGTGCTATCCATATTTTTACTTACTGAGATATTTTATCTTATAGTTTTTTCTTGTCCACCATTTCAGGAAGCGAAACCGAGAACGGGAAACCAATGGGAGTGACGAGGTAGAAGGCTAGCCATTCTAATTGGATATAAGATTTAGAGTTTATCATCCTTTTATAAGGTAGATTTTATTCTTGAGATTTTGTGATTTGAATAAGTTTCGAGCCTTGTGCACTTGTGGGACTCGTTTCACGAGTGCACGGCATCTGTCACGTTTCCGGATTTGGGTTCTGGGGTGTGACAGTGCATCTCTTTGGATGGGATATTTGCGGGGGTCCAATTTGGCAAAGCTAGTTCATTCCAATTTTCAATTCGACAACCGAATGTCGAATATAGAGGGAAAGGGATGTTGTTGGTGAAGTCGGTTACGGTCTACATTGGAAGCATGATATTCAAGCTAGCAAAGGGGCTCTAGTGTCCTTAATGACTTTCAACAGTAAAGGTTTATAAAGGATTGGTAAAGATGGGAACATGATTAGGAGTACACGATAGTGATTGGGGTGCCTTGTGCTTGCACGGAAGATCAACAAAAAGGAAAAGGATATTGTTGGTGAGGTCGGTTGTGTTCTGCAAGGGAAGAATAGTATTAAAGATGGTAAAGGGGCCCTAGTTCCTTTAACAAGTTTCGGTAGAAAGGGCTTGAAGAGGATTGGAAAGATGGGAAACATGGTTGGGAGCTCTTGGAGAAGACTGGGGTGCCTTGTGCTTGCACAAATGAGGACCATGCCCCTCCTTTTATTGGTTAATTTCTAGGAATAGATAGGGTGGCAACCTAAATATTGGAGATTGTTTGTTTCTGGAATCCCTTGCTCTCTCCATGAAACTAGTTGAATAAGTGAGGACATCCAGTGGCTTCTAATGCTCATAATGATTCTCTTTTCTACATTAGTTGCCCTATTTAGCCCATATAGCAATTGCAATTGCAATCTCTAATTACAGATGACTCTTTATTTAATTATCTATATTTGTTATGAGTATAGTTATTTGTTATGAGTATAGTTTAAATCTGTTACTAATGTTGTAGGTTATACTTCTGATTTTGTCTTTAGGTTATAATGCTTTAGGCTATATGCCCTGCAATAGAGTTTCTTCTGTATTTTCTTATTATTTAATATAATTTCTCCATTTCCTAAAAAAAAAAAAGTCTTCAACATACATATTTATTTAGTGACTAAAATAACACTCACTAGTTTTAGCATCTTTGGTTCATTTAGTGGTTAAAACAATACGTGCTAGCTTCAACATTCTAGTTTAGCTTAATTCTAGAGCCTAGACAGAGGTGGCAATAATTAGCACACATTTTATTTTATTTTATTTTTGTTCTACTCTTCATTTAGTTTATGTTACTCACTTTAATTAGGTAGCTAATAGGTGATAGTTCATTTGAGTTAGAGGGATGGATGCCTAGTGAAATTTGGAGTCATTTGATATAATAGTTTGAAATTAATGGTGAGTACTTTTGTTTAATTTAATGATTAATAATAATTATTATTATTAATTATTCAAATATTTTTATTTATTAGATTAGATAAAGCTATTAATCATTCATTTCAAATTGTGAAACCAAATAGCCCATTTGTCTTGATAGCGAAGTGGTGCTTTACAAGAAGTGATATGAAAGTTATAATATGTGTTTACCAATGCTATCTATTTCTGATGTGAGGATAACCTTTTCGTGGACTATGAGACAATTTAAAAGATTATTCCATCACTCAAAAAATAATTATTATTTTATAATTTTAAATTTATTTTAAATTAATATAATTTTTATTTTTAAAAATAATATATATTTTCTATTTTAACTTTACAATTATTCATTTATCTTAATCAATCATCCTCTCACAAAAAAAAAAAATTTAAGAGCACATAAATTATCCACAATTTTTTAATTTTAAAAAATAACAGTTATTATAATATGAGAGAAGTAATAAAATTCTTGTTCTCTTTTCCATTTTTTTTTTTTTTAAATTGTAACTCATCTTTTGTAGAGAGTAAAAATCAATAACTCATCTAGTGGCTTAAGTTAATAGCGCTTTTTTAATATTAATTAGCTTTGACAAAAAAGCTGAACTATTAATTAATTAAAATAGTTGTTATTGCACCAATAATAAAATTAATATTAATTTTTATTATTTTTAATATAAAAATGAATGTTTAAAAAAAAACTAATTATAGGCTTAACTTAAAAAATAAGTTGGAAATTTTCTAAAAGAAACAAAGTACTAACGTGAAGACACTTCACTACTCATTAAATTATGACCTTAACTGACATCATAATTATGGTTTACTGGCTTAATTGGCCAAACATTAAATTCAAGATTTATTTTTCTTTTTCAAAAAAAAAACAAACCAAAGGTTTCTTCTAAGACCGTATCAATTCTTTTATATAATTAATTTGAATATAAAAAGTAAATATTAATTTTAAATTTATTAATAACTTAATTAAAATAATTCGTGGAGCAATGTGTTATAATAGTTACTTTTATATATTTTTTAAAAAAACTTAAAGTATTACCTAAGAGTATATTAATTATATAGTTTTACATTTAATAATATAAAATTTAACTTTATTTTTATAGTTAGTACTCTACAAATACTTTTAATTAGATAATCAACAAAATTATACTAGTTAACTTTAAATTTTTAAAATAAATTAATTTTAAAAAGTACAATATTACAATTTTAACATATATTTTAAAGTAAATAAAATAAAAATATTTAAAATTTTATTATAAAAAGATACAATTAATATACCTTCATTTATGTCTCAAAGGCAATGAATAAAAAATCTTTTAATAAAAATTTTAATTTTAATTTTATATATTTAAGATTTTTTATTTATATCTCAAGACTACAAATTAAGGATTTTTTTGTCATTAATTAATATTAAAAATAAAAAAGCTAACATTAATGTTATTAATAAGTGAATTACTTTAATTAATTAATTAAAGATTAATTTTTATTTTTTTATAATAATTAATATAAAAAAATCGTTCTTCAGACAAATGTTACAATTTTTTTTTAATGTTAAAAATTCCAGATTTTATTTGTCATTTGCAGTCGCCGATGATAATGCGGGCGTGACATGAGTCACATGACAGCAACTATTCACATATCTTCAATTTTACGCTCTCAAAAAAACCGCAACCAACTGACCCGACACCAAACACATCCACGTGTCATACTATCATTAGTTAACACGTCAGTCCCACTTTACTCATCTCTCTATTTATTCCGCCAAATTTAGCGTCCTAAAGGTCTCCATCCCACTTCCACTTAGCCGTTGCTATTCTTCTCTTTTCCCGTCAATGGCGTCTCTTTTTTTCTTCTTCGGCTTTTTGGCTCCGCTAATGTCACCGGCAGTCTCCCTCACCTGCTCCTCTCAAAAGTTCACCAACAATCGCCTCTACTCCAACTGCCTGGACCTCCCCACTCTTTCCTCTTACCTTCACTTCACTTATATTTCCTCCAATTCCACCCTTTCTGTCGCCTTTTTCTCCACGGCTTCCAATTCCAGCGGCTGGATCTCGTGGGCCATCAATCCGACGGATACAGGGATGGCTGGCTCACAGGCTCTCGTCGCCTATAAGGAATCTGGTGTGGCGAAGCTGAAGACCTTTGACATTAGCTCTTACAGTTCCGTTGTGCAGAAGAATTTGAAGTTTGAGGTCTGGGATATGAGCGCGGAAAGTGATACGGACGGGACTTTGAGGATTTTCGCAAAGATCAAGGTTCCGTCGGATTTGGCAGCCAAAGGCACAGTAAATCAGGTCTGGCAGGTCGGACCCGGTGTCGGGACAAACGGTGTGTTGGATAGACACGATTTTGCTCCCGCGAATTTGCAGGCAAAGGCAACCTTAGATTTGAAAAGTGGGGTGAGTATTAATGCAGGTGACAGCAGGACCAAGGAGAAAAATGTAAGTCTACGTTTTTTCTATCTTTATTTTTATTTTGGATACTTTGTGGTTACATTTTAAATCATCGGGTTGAATTTTGATTTTTGTTTCCCTGTTTTTAAATTCTAAAGTTCTGATCTGTTTTCTCAAAGTCTATATATAGATGTTTTTAAAAGTTTATGAATTAGTAATTGTTAACGACTTCATTTTTTCTTTGAAAATAATTAGGGGTTGTTTTATATTATTTTATTTTATTTTATTTTCCAGTTTTTAAGTAATGTAATTAACCATGAGAAAATTGGGTGAGTGAGAAATTTACAAAATTACTTTTTTTATGCAAATTGAATTATTTTTTATGCATATTGAAATGTTTGACCGATGATGTGGGTTATACCCTCACCTTCGCAAACCGTTTCCCACTCGTGTGGTAGAATGGATCATCTGCTAAGGGGTTTTGTGAGTTATAAAAGTTGGTTATTTCCTCGACAGATTCATGGGATATTGAATGTTGTTAGCTGGGGAATTTTGTTTCCTGTGGGAGTCATCATTGCCCGGTATGTGAGGACTCTCGAGTCTGCAGATCCAGCGTGGTTCTATCTTCATGTTTTCTGCCAATTATCAGCCTATGCCATTGGAGTTGCTGGCTGGGGAACTGGAATCAAGCTTGGAAGTGAATCCAAGGGAGTTCAATACGCAGGTCATCGCAACATTGGAATTGCCCTCTTTTCTCTTGCAACCGTGCAGGCATGCATTGCTTTCAGCGCATTTTTTTTTTTTTTATTCTCTTTAACTAATTCCTCTTATCTCTCTCTTAATTGACAAAAAGGGTTTTAGGCAACATGTTACGCAATTACCATATTTTCCTTTTTCGTGAGTTACGCATTTAACTATGTAAATTTGTTGGTGTATTCTGTTTCAGAAACATGACAGTTTTTGTTCTCTTAATTTTGAAGACTTGAAATTTTACAAATTGTGATAAGTAGAACACATTAGGAAATGGTTGACATTGAAGTTGATGGAATTCTCCATAATGAGGTGCTTTATCACTTGTGAGAAAAAAAAAAATGGAAAAGGGCGCTAAGTCTTGGATTTTCACATAATTATATGAACCGAGATGCTTTCAAAAGATATTATTTCTGTTTTTTGTAAGCGATTTGATTTTCTATTGACTCTAAAAGGTAGACTGAATTTTTCTTATGGGAACTTTATTGTTTATCCTGATAGATTTTCGCATTGTTCTTGAGACCAAAGAAGGACCACAAGTATCGATTCTACTGGAATCTCTATCACCATGGATTCGGATACTGCATAATCATCCTCGGCATCATCAATGTGTTCAAGGGTTTTGATATCTTGCGTCCTGGAAAACACTGGAAGAGGTTTTACATCATTGTGATTGCTGCCTTGGGCGGCATTACCGTGCTATTGGAAGCAATTACTTGGGTTGTAGTCTTGAAGAGAAAATCCAATAAGTCCACCAAGCCCTATGATGGACACAACAATGGCCAAGGTAGACCGTAGACAGCAGCCGCTTGTAACTGCTCAACAACTTCAGTATCTTATGGCAACTTCTCTGCTTGTTTGAGAGTTCTAGGTTTATTTATATTGAACCACTTCTTTTTCAATGATAAATTTTCAGTTGTATAATGCCTTGATTATCACTTATTGCAATATAATAGCTTGGTCTCACTTGTTTACTTTTTTAGATTTTTTTCCCCGTTTTGCTGTTAGTTAGGATCTCTGAAGAATTAGACTTGCTAGTGTGGATTGTATGGAACGCGATTTTAGATCATAAAAGTATTCCTATACTTTCCGTTATTTCTCCCATCATATGACACTTGTTCATAACGAAGAAACAAGTATGTATGGTTATGGTTATCATTAAATTTATTAATACTATCATAATTATTAAATTTTTTATCTAATTTAATTATTAAATAGTTAATAATTAATAAAATAATTAATATTTATTATTTAATAAATTAAAATTAATTTATAAATAAATATTTTTAAATACTATAATTAATTATTTAAGTTAAAGAATTATAAACCAATAAAATTATAGTTAAAATAAATACCTTTAACAAAAGGTGTTTGCGTCAATAACCAGAGCTGTATGAAGGGACAATTTGGCTTTATACAATATGGGGGTTAATGTCATCTACTGTCCCTCTACTATCAAAAATAGTGCAATCTAAACCTTCTACTATAGATTGCCTCCATATCATCTCTCTACTATTAATTAACTCCATCTGTTGTCCCTCTACAATGCAAAAGAATGTCAATGTCGTCCCTCCATCAATGTAAGCTAACGGTGCTCTTTATTGACTGTTAAGTGTAACAGTCACACTGGTTAGGCCTTTTACAATCTTTTTTCCTTTTTTTTTGCCACCTTACCCACATCATCTCTAACAATATTTTTTTGGCTTACGGTTGCCTCCCTAACATGGATCTTGCAGGCGGGAACTATGGAATTTACAATTGGTAATTTTCAAATAACAAAATATGAAAATCCCATCATTTGAGAAGACAATGACAACTTTATTATTAATTTATCTAAAAATATAAAATTTTCATTTTTTAAAATTAAATAGTAAATTTCTTTTTTTTTTTTCAAATGATAATATGAAATTTTACAATCTTTTCTACTTTTTTTGAAGATTTATTAGAGAATAATGGTAACGTAACAAATGACAATATTAATCAAAATAGGATAATATTCATGTATTTAAATTAAAAAAGTGAAAATTTACTATTTGATTTAAAAATTTAAGGAAATCTTAGGTAATCTCATAAGATACTAAGATATATAATTTACTGGCATGTTTAGTAGGTTTTTTTTTTTTTTCAATTTCTTTGTGATAGTTCCCGCTCTCTTTATATTATGTTTTATCTTAAATAAAATTCTTTGTATCTTCAACACATTGGTTTTTCCTGGAGAAAGAAAATTGCAGAGAATAGTAAGGGAATCCATTGATTGTGAATGAAATTCTTTGCATCCGCATAGATAATGGCTGGTGTTCTGTTCGGATGAATTTGAAATTTTATGAATTCTCAAATAATTAAAAAAGGTTTAGATAAAAATATGACTTTATCATTTTTTTATTCAAAGATATAAATTTTTTGAATTCTTAAATTAAACAGTAGATTTTTACTTTTTTAATTTAAATACATGAATATTGTCCTATTTTGATTAAGATTGCCATTTGTTACGTTATCCGTGATACCCCAAAATTGTCTAGAATATGTAAGTGAGTTAAGGACTAAATTGTGGAAAAATGATGTTTTGGGGCCTAATGGTAAAATGTTCAAAAGTTGAGGGATTTAAAGAGGGAAAATAATTGGATAAGGATCAGTTTCTTTCCTTTTTCTTTTTCCTTCTTTTCTTCCCCAGCCATTTCCCGATTCTGCTCTTCCTCTTCTCGCTGCAGCTCCCGAAATCCCCCCTCCAAGCCGCCGGCACCAGCTTTGAAAAATTGGTGAGAAAGCTTGGAATATCTCCTTCTTTCTTGTCCAAGAACCTGACTTGGAACCCAGAAATCTTTCCCCTTTGCTGGAAATTCCAGATCTGCCTTGCTCTGCTTGTCTTCACCGCCGGCTGCTAGTGGGTATGGGTGATTTCTGGGCATTTTTTTCGGTAAGAACAGCCCCTAATTTCCTTTGTTCTTGCTTGAATTGGCTTGGGTTAACTTTGATTGCTCTTATTTCCTTCAATCTTGGGTAGTTCCCGTGAGCTTCCCCTGCACTTGCCGCTGGCTTCTCCCCCTGCCAAGTCCGGTTCTGCAACTGGAAAATTTATGGTAGGTTGGCTTCTCTAATTCTCGAAAATTGGTTGATTAGTGACTGCTTTGTGATGTCTGAATTTGGCTAGAAAATGGGGATGAAATTGATAGTAATTAGACCATGATTTAGCTTGATTCAAGTGGAATTTATATGATTGAGTGTTAATGGATTGCTATGTGATTTTTGGAGAAAATCCCGTGAGATTAGCTAGTGGTTTGGCCAATTTTTGGAAGTGGGAGTTACTGTTCACGTCATGGGTACTGCTCACTGGGTACAGTTCACGGCACTGTTCGCGGGTTACTGTTCACACCCCGAGGGCCAACAATTAACGGGGATTTAAATGATTAGTTTATGATATAAGAACGAATTTGGAGATGTTTAATCATGTGGAGATTGATAGGAATAGCATCGGGATTAAGAGTGATCTTAATGATGATTTCAGTTTGAATTTGTGATAGTCCGATATTAATTCTGAGGTGTTTTGATTAGATTCCTGATGTTCTGTTAGTTAGCACCAATGTTTTAAAAATCGGATCGGACCGGCCGGTTGAATTGGTCAGACCGGTACCGGTATCAAAAATGGTTCGGCTCAACATTTAGAACCGATGGAGCGGTTGAATTGCTCAAAATCGATAAAACCGTTCGAACCGATACAAACCGGAAAACCACTCAACCGGATGGTTTAAATCCTTTGGAGGATTTACCTTAAATTTGCCACCCTGGAGGCTTGAACACATGACTTCAAGAAGACTTTCTGTGATTTTTGCCACTAGGACGTTATCTCTTTGATTGAAATAATTCGGTAATAATTTTATTTATTTTATTTTTGTAAGAAAAGAATTGATTATACCATCCAGCCGAATCGAACTTCCTTCCCTTGTATGAACTTTGATATTAAAATTAATATAGTGTTACTCTAATTTTTATCTTAAATATATAAATTAAAAGTATGACAAAT